ACCACTGGCGGCCAATTTCACGTACGGAATGTTTCCCAACTGAGAGATCGGCGACTCTTTCATCGGTCGATAAGTGGGCGCCGAAAACATGGCGTCGATAGGAGTGGGACCTCTCGCCGGTGCCGACAACTGCTCACCCATTGAACCCAAGAGTCCATCACTTTGTAGGAAGTAATTAGTGTTCAACGGATTGGTTAAGTAATTGGAGACATAATTGTCGACATTAGTGGTCTGAAAGGGCAGATGTCTTCGCGCGGCCTTTATATGCCTCACGTTGTGATTGAGACCAAACCGGTTGTCGATTGTCATCAGTTGAGTCGTCTTCGGGCGCGGTTTGGGCCTCAATTGGTGGTCGGCTTTCGGTTTACTCTTAAAGTATTTGATTAACAAAATGATTATGAATAGAGACGAAGAGATGAGGACCAGAATCGGTGACCAAAACAAGAGGATTGCCATCAAAGCGACGAAAACCGACAAAACTATGCGCTCTAACCGTTCAAACATTGTCTTCAATGCAATCATTCAATCGATATGTCAGTCAAATGTGGACTTAATTCACATTTTTATTAATCACTTAATTATAGACTCAATAAAAACAATACATTTATTAAACAATAACTCAATGACTGAATGAATGGGCGAAACGTTTCGTGAATTCAATCAACAAATGGATTGTAAACTAAATTCAATTCACAGAAAAACATGTCTTTTTTGCCTGAGTTTTGCATTTCGTAAACCATTTCGATATCGATGTATCGATTCTCACAACTCATCCACACTTTCATCGCTTCTCAATCACTGTTTATCCCAGAAATCAATACATATCGAGAAATAAATGCTTTATTTCAATACAAAGCCATTAATTGTGATTAAAATGTTTGAATGAATTGAATTGCAATCAAAAAACACAATCAAAAGTAACAATCGTTTCATCAAAACTCACTATCGATTTAATCGTTTTCCAGACGTTTGGCCAAAGGATTCACAAATAACGTTACAAATGGGGAGAGGAGTCGAGGCCTAAGAGGTTTGCATTCATATGGCTTACAGATGTATAACTCGGGGGACAAAAAGTGATGCCAAAAGTAACGCAATATCTGGACAATGGGTTTGAGCGATGGTTTCTAGCGTTGAATTGGCGCTAAAAAGCGATTTCTTGTTTGTGTTTTGATTGAGTGTTTCGTCCAATTGTTGTCCAAATTGTGGTCTTCAGGAAGAAGTGATCCAAAGATGCGATTCTTTCGTTTCCTAATTCCCATCAAATTAGAGGACTTGAGGGACGGTTTGGCCGAAAGGGATGTCTATTCCGTTCAATTGGAGTACAACTCCAGAGAGATCTCAACTAAACTCAATGGTAAGCCATTTATTTGTCGTTTGAATTGTCACTTGAATTGATCCCATCTTCTTGTGTCCCGAAGACTGTGCCGACAATTTCCGCTCGAATGGCATTAACTTTCTATTGGAAGACAATAACTTCGATGTCTTCTACAGTTGTCTTAAGTATGTGTTGATTGAGTGTTAAATATATTTTAATTACAATTAATTGATTGATTGAATGAATTGACAGAAACTTCAATACATTGGACGGCAAACAGAGAGACCAGACGTGGAAACTATTGTCGAAATGTATGGATAAGTTGTACACAGAATTGGAGACATTCGTGAACCGGAC